AGAGAGAGAGGAAATTGACTTAAGTGTCCCGCGCAGGTTTTACTGACCGTCTATCAGTGGGGCTCTTGAAAAAGGTCTTCAAACCTAGATCTAGGTTTTGACCTTTACTGAGTGTAGATTCTGGGAAAGGCGATGACCCACAAGTATAGGGGATCAATCGTAGTCCTTCTGGTATATAAGAGTGTCGAACCCAACGAGAAGCAGAAAGAAATGACAAGCTGTTTCAGCAAGGTAATTTCTGCAGGCATTGAAATTGTCGGTAACAGGTAGTTTGATAGCAAGATAATTTGTAACGAGCAAGTAATAGTAAAGGTAACATAAGTGCAGCAAGGTAGTCCAATCCTTTTGTAGCAAAGGACAGGCCGGAACAATCTCTTATAATAAGCAAAGCATTCTTGAGGATGCACGGAAATTTCATCTAGTCATTTTCATCATATTTGTTTGATTCGCGTTTGCTACTTGGATAATTTGATATGTGGGTGGACCGGGGTGCTTGGGTGATGTCCTTACTTGAACAAGCCTCCCACTTATAATTAACCCCTCCCGCAAGCATCCGCAACAACGAAAGAAGAATTAAGATAAAATCTAATCATAACATTAGACATATGGATCCAAATCAGCCCCTTACAGAATAGCGCATAAACTAGAGTTTAAGCTTTGACGCATTTCCTTTGGCGCAAAGATGGTGAAGTGTCATGTATTGGATGTTCACATAATACCACTAAGGGAATCACAACGTACATATCATCAAAATATCGAAAAAATACCAAATTCACATGATTACTTATGAGAAGACTTCTCACATGTCCTCAAGAACAAAAGTAACTACTCAGGAGACATATTCATGCTCAAGATCAAAGGTGTATTGAATAGCATAATAGATCTGAACATATAATCTTCGACCAAATAAACCAACTAGCATCAACTACAAGATATAATCAACACTAATAGTCACCCACAGGTATCAATCTGAGGATTTGATACAAAGATTGAACACAAGAGATGAACTAGGATTTTGAGATGAGATGGTGCTGTTGAAAATGTTGATGAAGATTGGTCCTCCCATAATGAGAGGGTTGTTGTCGATGACGATTTCTTCGATTTCCCCCTCCCAGAGGGAAGTATCCCCGACGGAATCGCCCTGCCGATTAAGTCGGGGGCGTCACAGGGAATCTCGGTGTGTTCGCTCCGCTTAGTAGTTTAGGTTAGGTATTTTTAGTCCTCGTAGGTGCGGCGCTCGGGCAGATGGCGACGCTTCTTCTTCAATTTTGTCTTGGCTCTGCTTCTCATAGAGTTCGTTAGTTGACGAAGCTCCGACATAGATTCCTACTGTCTCCTTTTGTTGGTGAGGTTAGGGTTTTTCTCGCCATGTGGCGAATTTGATGTCAGGTGCTTCACATCTATGCAAGAGTTCAACGGCGACAAATGCAACTTAAGGGCGTTGGTCCTTGGGCACGGGCACCAAGACTTACCGTCTATCATCGACAAGGATGACAATGCAGCGTCAGCGCCTCATTCTGGCGGCAGTAGTGGTCGTTCGGTGGTCTCGAATCCTCGACGTAATTTCTATTATGTTTGAGATATTTTATACTTTTGATAAGCTTTTATAATAGATCTGATTATTTTTGTAAAAAAAGGTTGCATGCATAGGCCCCGAGGAAAACAGAGCACACATGCATTCGGCCTATTTCCGGACATGTCATCCATAACCGCATTTGGCCCAAACCGAGGGTTGCGTGCCGTCCCGAAGAAAGACGAGAAGGAAGCTTCCTTCCTCCTTCGGGCTGCTCGAGCGTTTGCTTGAGGACATTTTGCATTAGTTATACTCCGCGCCTCACTGCGTGCTTTTTGGCAGATTCCAGTGTGACGTTTCGCCTTTTTGAGTTCTTTATGTGACCGGCATCTCGCCTCGTATGCGCCTTGCGTTTCCTCCTTGTCTCACTCACGCAGCGTGCCCCGCTCCCGTCACACATGCTTTGCACAACCACGTCACGAAGGTGCCTGGCTGTCAGCCATACAGTTTTACTGTCCTGGTAATGCGGTCGCAGTTACGGTTAAGATGCGATAAGATTAACTGACTGAAATTATGTAATAAAAAACCAATTCTTTTCTGCAAACATTAATCTGTCATTTTTCTTTTTTCCAGAAAGGAGCATTTACCTCCGGCTTCTGCATGAGGACGATGCATGCATCCATATAACATTAATTTATCATTGTGTTTGTCAACATCACTCGCGTCCCCCCTCACTTCCTACACAGCGACGTGGCAAGAATTCCAGTGCCACAAACATGATACCAAACTTCGAATATATAAGGAAAAAAGAAACATTCGTTTATGGACAGTGTAAAAGACACACAAAAGACACAAATTTGGACGTCATTTATAGTTAGGTTTCCCTCTTTTCTATATGTGTGGATCGAATTTAAATATGAAATTATGTGTGACCGTAGACACATCTTTCGTCATCCTGCTATATTGCATGAAAATATGGGATCAAGCATTGATAGTGCTAGGTTTTTTCTATTTTTTTAAGAATTTCCGCATATCATTAAACAAATATCAAATTACAACACAAACTCGCGAAAACCATGAGAGGAAATGAGAGAGGACGCATGTCCAGAAACATTTGCAACAGAACTCCACCGAAGCGGATTTCAGCAACCACCATCCTCGCCACTTGCCGTCTTCAGAGGCGACAAAGGACCATCGTACCATGAGGGCTTTGTGAGCTGAAGAAGAGGCTTGCTGCCGGCAAGGACATTGTCGTTGTGGCACGTTGGCCGGGGATCATCCATGTACTCCTTGAAACCAGATGCGCCGCATGTCGTCGGAGCAGAATGCTGGAACCGCCACCCACCAACCTCCAACTTTGTACTTGGATCTTCAGCTTCCCACAAACAAAGACGACACCGCACGAGATGGAATCCGCCACAGACATAATAAACACCACCACATCTATAACACAAAGAAAACAGTGGAATAAGGTACCCACAGCTCCCCAGAGTTCACCACCAGGGGCGTCGTCGAGATGAGGCTGAGATCGGGGAAAATTTGTTCCAAGCACAGACGTCACCTCCATGCAAACATCGACGTAGGACACACTAATACTAACCCTAACTACAACCAAAACAGAAAGCCAGGGTTTCCCCAGCCATCCATCCAGAGTGGCGACCGGAGGGGGAGATAACCCATAGCCTCACTGGCACAAAGAGGGAGGAGTTGATTGTCTCCTTGATCGCCATTTTTCTATGACCAGGGGGAGCGAAGCGATTAGTACATTGTGAGCCACCGAAATACATATATAGGTCCTTGAAGAAAAACTGAAAGAAGCATGGGCCACGACCACGAGTATGACCATCATTATTCCCTACCAGACGACAGTTAACATGGCAGGGCCTATCATAGGGTAAAGACATACCAATACTGCTTATCGTTGCACCTAGATCATAGAGTAACGACAGACCGGTACCATTTACCATTGCGCCTATATCCAATAGTAATGACAGACCAATACCGTTTAGCGTTGCGCCTATATCATAGAGTAACGACAGACCAATAACATTTACCGTTGCGCCTATATAATAGATTAATGACATACCAATACAGTTTACCATTACTTGTTCCAAAATATATGTAACCTAAAGACCTTTGCAATAATTCCTAACCACAAACCTGCATACCTTAAATGTTTGTAGGTTGCATTCTCATTAGCAAGCGAAAATGCTCATCATACCATTTTATTGCTCTTTTCGATATGCAATGTCATAACAATTGTATATGCATCAGTCTATAGATACTCAACAATAATTGATAAGAAAAAGTCACACATATTTTTCACTTTCGTGGATTGTGATTGCGATGTCGTTGACACGAAAAGAACAAGTTGCATATTCTGACTCGTCGTTTTCATAAATCCCGAGGGCCTATAATGATCCACTCTTTTTTCGATACATATAATTGTATTGGTCATAGAATCAACAGGATCAACACACCACTTTTCACATGACTCTTTAGTAGGAATCTAAGCAAAATATCCGTTTTGTGGTGCTTATCATACAAAATCAACATTGTAAAGGTTTAACACTCATTTTTTTACTTATCTATGAAGTACATGAGCTTTTATTTCTGAAATAATTTTTTTTATAAAAAACCAGGAATATTTATTTGTGTGGAATGTTCATGAAGTTGATTGGAACTGGACTAAACAATAATTAAATTGTTTTACTTGAAAACCAAAGAACTGATTAAAATAGAAATTGATTGGAATTCCACATAAGTACTCCCTCCGTAAAGATATACCAAACACTCTTATATTTCTTTACAGAGGGAGTAATTATTTGTACGGAATGGGCTTTTCTATGGCACTGGACCAGTAACAATGCAAATAAAAATGAGCTAATGTTTGTCGAATATTAATTGTAAGGAAATTAATTCTCAGCAAATCTACTAATTTTTACGTGCACAACACCGATCGAATTCCACTGAAAAGAGTTGCCATTGGGATCTCAGTGGCAAAAGCCCTTTATGCGCATACGGACATACCTATATTTGGAAGTTTGTATGGAGCAGCGCCTCCCTGTCAGCTGTAACAAACTTGTCATCACTGGCTCTTGCTTGCTCGAGTGAGATGCACCGACAGCCCGGGCCCACTGCGCAACAGCTGACCTCCTGAGAAAGCTGGCTACTCCTGGTCTACATGGGGCGCCAGAGACAGAGATGGGATCCAAGGGCCCATCTTCGCCTGGTCTGTGTAATGTGTGTACTTGGAACGTCATATTCTAGGAAGGTTTCTTGCCGTCGGATGAACGTGGGCCCGGAGATTAAAGGCTGAGGCGGCACCTCCTGCTCTATATGATGCGGGTCCCTGGATCTTCATCTCGACATCGACTTGCCTTCTTCCCTGTGCCAGACTCTTCCCCTCTCTCTCTCGCTCGATTCCGCGAAATTCCACCCTCCTTCGCCGACCTCATCCCTTGTTTCCGAGTTCCGACCTCCGGCGATGGCGTCGTTGGGGGACATGCTTTTGAACCAGGAGCTGGCGGCGGTGGCAGCCATGTCGGCGGACGCGCACGGCAGGTTCGGAAGGTACACCCTGAGCCCTGCCCATGGGTTTTCCCACTTCCAGCAAGCTGGCAGCGCTCCGACAGGATTCCCCGACACGGGATTGCTCGTTTCCGGCTTCGGCATGCCTCCCTCCACCTTCATCATGCCGGAGGGGACCCACGCGGCCGCCGGTTATGGCGCTGAGGTCGTCCCGGTGGAGATCCCCGTGGTCCGGCGACAGAGACCTGCCGCCAGGAACGATGGGGCGACACCGTTCAGAGGACCGTGGACGGAGGAAGAGGACGAGTACGTGAAACAGCTGAATCTGAGTCGTTTTTTGAGCAGCTTGATCTCGCGGCATGCAAGCTGTTCTGCTTGATTGATCAATTTGCTTTCTTGTTTGCAGACTTCTCAGGAGATTGGTCGATGAGCATGGCGAACATAAGTGGGCGACCATTTCAGAGCACCTCCCGGGACGGATCGGCAAGCAGTGCCGTGAGCGATGGACGAATCACGTGCGCCCCGGCATCAAGGTGATGCACCATCGCAGCTTATAGTCTTGATCTGATTTTAATTATGGGAAATCTTTCATAGATCTATATGATTCGGAAATCTAAATTGTCTTAGTTTAGTTTTTACTACGTTCGAAGCATGCTGAACTTTTGGTCGTACAATTCGGGAGTGGGTATTAAGTGAGGAATGAATAGTTCGTCATGCTGCATGACTTTATTTTAATCATTAACTGCGCCAATTTCTTCATCAAGGCCACTAATTGTTCGCGTGAGTAATTTTGTCCGTGGCCCTTGAGAAGAGATTGGAGGGAGAAAATGGTGAAGCACATTAGTTCTACATCTTTTTTTGCAGAATTGCAGATGCACAAGCGTCTCAAAATCGTGTATGTTTAGCGGCGTGGCCGCCTATTGTCTTTGTTTTCGACCAATCTTTTTAATTAACCCCAAGCACCATATGGGGTTTTAGCTCAGTTTCCCTTGTAGGCAGGATCAATTCATCTCTATACGCATATGAATTGCTGGAGGACCTTGCCGTCTGAAGACGTTCGAAAAAAACCATTCAATTTCTAATGATTATTTGTTACTATTTCCTGAGTTTCAGCCAGGCCATTCGGCCAGGCCAAGCTTCAGATGTCTATATATTATTGAGCTTTGTTGCGAGGATTCAGCGACGCAATTTATTTCTACCAAAATAAGGCGAATTTGAAAAACTACCACGTTTCCGTTTCAGAATGAATATACTATCGTAGTACTAATATGTCCAATATGATATGCAATTCAACTACACTTGCTTGTGCCAATCATCTGGAGACATTAACTTTTGATTGACATAATCACATTCCAGAAGGAGCACATCTGGACTGAGGCGGATGACATAGTGCTGATCGACGCGCACAAGATCCACGGAAACCGTTGGTCGTCGATCGCGAGGTGCCTGCCCGGCCGGTCGGAGAACGCCGTCAAGAATCACTGGAACGCGACAAGGCGGAGCCTCAAGTCCAAGCGCCGGTTCAAGAAGAAGACGAGCCAACAGGCCGCCCCGGGCCAGTTCACCCTCCTCGAGGAGTACATCCGCGACAAAATGATGGCTGACGAGAACCTGGCGCCATCGTCTCCATTGGCCGGCGTCGCGTATGACGGCCAGGTCGTTCCAGGTGCCGCTGCAATGCTGGCCGTCTCCACCCCACCGGGGATGGGTCAGTACCTCCACCCAGCCAACGCGGCCGGGTCATCATCGCAAGCAGGGATGATGAACCTGAGCGTGCCGTTGCCGGACCTCAACGCCTACAGCGGCGAGATGCTGGAGCGATACTACTACCCGACCTACAGCAACAACCTGCTGCCCTATGGACCAGAGCCGGCATTTCCGCAGATGTTTAGTGCCCAGGGACGCATGCATGCTGCATGCACGAACCTTAACTTGTTCCCGCTCCCCCAGCACCCCGGTGGCGGCTACTACGGCAGCGAGACGGGCCGCAGAAGCGCCGGTGGCGGCTACTACGGCAGCGAGACGGGCCGCAGCAGCGCCGGTGGCAGCAGTGATCAGGACGAAGACGTGGCCCAGATGGCCTCCAGGGAGTTCCAGACGTCCGAGGACGAGGCCACACTGGACCTCACTGGCTTCAACTGAGGCGGTCCGTCCGCCGGATCGATCCAAGTACCCTATCCATTAATTCAGTTTGTCGTTTTTTACCTTTCCGAACATTTTAGTTTGTGGTTGTTTCAATCTGCTGCTGTTGTATACTGTTGCCCGAAGAACACACTTGTGTGTTTGTGCGGCGTGGCATGCATGTATCTTTAATTTCCGTATTATGAGTACTGTGTAAAAGTTCCTTCTGCCGAACAATTTGTTGGAGAACCTTTGCTGTACCTGTGTTTGTTTCTAGCGATTCACCCTATGGATTTCTGTTTCCGACTATACTCCATCGTTGCTGTTGTGTTGTGTGTTGAGCTAGGATGGGGATCAGAGCAACGCGCAGGGGTGCGCAGGTGTCCCTGTGTTAGTTTCTACGAATGGAGCAGGGACTTCATCTCATTGACCAGGTGGCCATTAAGCGAGAAATCTTTCGCCTTGTCTTTGATTTTGCTCACCACGGACTGAGAATCAGTCTCGTGGAAGAGCTTCCACACGTTTATTTCCATCGCCAGCCGGATTACCCTGCGGCAGGCGGGCCAGTAGTGTTGAACATGTGTACATGTGGTCCGGGTTTTGTATACCGCACCTGTAATGTCAGCGATCCAATCTCAGACGCGGCCCCAGCACACACGAACGCCGCAGAGTCAGCACGAAGGAATGACGTGGCAGCGGAAAGGCTCGTCTCCACCAATCAGGGGCAGGGGCATGTCATCTCCAGGCCACCTCGGATCAGGCACCCGAACCACAGGTTCGTGGGCCCTGAATGGGCGAACGCTACTTAAGCCGCTCGGCGAGGCTGGTTCAGCATCCAGGAGAATCAGGTATCGGCACGGCACGGCTTTTCTTTTTGATTTTGCTTTCTCCTTTCCCTTCCCACAAGACAAAGGCTCGTCTCCACCAATCAGGGGCAGGGGCGCGTCATCTCCAGCCACCTCGGATCAGGCACCCGAACCGCAGGTTCGTGGGCCCTTAATGGGCGAACGCTAGTTAAGCCGCTCGGCGAGGCTGGTTCGGCATCCAGGAGTATTAGGCATCAGTACGACACGACTTTCCTTTTTGATTTTTCTTTCTCCTTTCCCTTCCCACAAGACAAACCACTAGCTCCCAAGCACATAGGCCTCTCTACCTATGAAAAGGAATGTTTGGCGATTTTAATGGCAGTAGAGCAATGGCGACCTTACTTGCATCATGATGAGTTCCTGATAAGAACGGATCAGCGGAGTTTGGTGCACCTCGACGATCAGCGATTGTCGACAGTTTGGCAACAAAAAGCATTCACCAAACTTTTGGAGCTGCGTTACAAAATTTGCTATAGGCATGGAACCACAAACAGCGCAGCTGACGCCTTGTCCCGTCGTCACCACGAGCAAGGGCAATCCATGGCGATATCGGTCTGTCAACCTTCATGGATTGAAGAGATCAGGACCAGCTACTTGGATAATCCTCATGCAAAGAAATTGCTGGAACAGTTCACGCAACAGGCAGACCCGAAGGGCCGTTTCTCGGTTGTCATGGACTGTTGTATTTCCGACAACGGCTGTGGCTAGGAGGATCTCCAGCGCTACAGCAATCCATGCTACGTGCTTTTCATGACAACATAGTTGGAGGTCATTCCGACTTTCCTGTGACTTATCGGCGCCTCCGCAGGCTCTTTGCGTGGCCGAAGATGAAGCAGATCATCAGAGAGTACGTGCAGCAGTGCATAGTTTGCCAGCAAGCAAAACCGGAGAGGGTTAAATACCCTGGTCTGCTCGAACCTATCCCAATTCCGGAAGAGGGGCCTGGCAAGTTATGACAATGGACTTCATCGATGGCCTCCCACAATCAGGCAGAGCGAATTGCATCCTCGTCGTGGTGGACAAGTTCACGCGATATGCACATTTTCTAGCTCTCCAACATCCATTCACAGCAGCCAGGGTAGCTCGCTCTTACTTGGACAATGTGTATAGGCTGCACGGTCTGCCCAAGGCCATCATCTCGGACAGGGATCCAGTGTTTACAAGCAAGTTCTGGTGTGAGCTGTTTACCTGCATAGGCTCGGAACTGAAGATGAGCACCCCGTATCATCCACAGACGGATGGACAATCAGAAAGAGTGAATCAGTGCCTCGAGATTTATCTGAGATGCTTCATCCATGCCTGTCGAAATCACTTGAGTTAGTTTCTTTCCCTAGCTAAGTTTTGGTACAATACCAGCTATCACTCGGCACTGGAGATGTCACCATTTCAAGCTTTGTACAGCCATGAGCCAAGACATTGGGGGATTGAGGCAGCTTCAGTGTGCAAAGTTCCAGCGCTGAAAGAGTGGGTTGAGGAGCGAAAGACCATGCAACAAGTTCTCAAACAACATCTCCACCGGGCACGCCACATCATGAAAGTTCAGGCAGACAAAAAACGCTCTGTCAGAGAATTCCAAGTGGGAGATGCCGTCTTCATCAAGCTACAACCTTACGTACAGTCGTCGGTGCATCGCCGAGCCAATCATAAGCTTTTGTTCAGATACTTTGGGCCGTTTCAGGTGTTGCGCAGGATCAACCCAGTGGCGTATGAACTTGCTTTGCCGCAGGAGTCGCGCATCCACCCCGCCTTCCATGTTTCTTAGCTTCGCCAAGCACTTGCACCATGTACGGCTGCATCATCTACACTACCGGTTCTTCCTTCTGCAGAACTCTTTCCAGTGGAGCTCCTGGACAAACGTTGCAGGCAAACCCCCGCTGGCCGCCACGAACAGTACCTGGTGCGATGGTCGGATTCAGACCAGCTCGATGCTTCGTGGGAAGATGCCCTCGCGCTCAAGGGTAGGTATCCGGCTGTAGCAGCTTGGGGACAAGCATGCTCTCAAGGAGTAGGGGATGTCAGCGATCCAATCTCAGATGCGGCCCCATCACACACAAACGCCGTCAAGTCAGCACGAAGGAATGATGTGGCAGCGGAAAGGCTCGTCTCCACCAATCAGGGGTAGGGGCACGTCATCTGCAGGCCACCTCGGATCAGGCACCCGAACCGCAGGTTCGTGGGCCCTGAATGGGCGAACGCTACTTAAGCTGCTCGGCGAGGCTGGTTTGGCATCCAGGAGGATCAGGCATCGGCACGACACGACTTTTCTTTTTGATTTTGCTGTCTCCTTTGCCTTCCCCCAAGACAAAGTGAAACTTTGTAATCTACCGGTGAGTGTGAGAAACTAGATCGAGATCCATCTCCTAACATGTAGTGTCTCTCTCCCTTTGTATGTACTTGTATCTTCGGAGAAAAGATACCGGTCGCACACCTTGTACCTATATATATGTGCCTAGTGCACGATCAATGAGATATTGATGCACCAAATCATTCTCTACATGGTATCAGATAGCATCACGATCCTCTCCCAAAACCGCTTCCGCCTACCCTAGCTGCCGCCGCCTTGGGCCGCCGCCGCCGCCATCTACAGCCGCCGCCCCCGCCCCACGCCGCCGCTACCTCCCTCTCCCCGCGTGCGCCTCCCCTCCGAGTCGCACCCTCCCTCCCCTGCGGCGCCGCTCTCCCGCCGCACCGCTCCCCTTGCCGTGTCGCTCCTGCTGCCGCGCTGCACCCTCACCCAACCCTAGCCCCGCCTCTCCTCCTCATCACTACGCTGCCGCCATGTCATCCAACGCCTCCACCTACTCCAATCCCTTCGTCGGGCCGGACCCCACTGACATCCGCGACATCAACATCCACGAACGCGTCCCCGTCGTCCTCGATGCCACCGACTCCATGTACTTCGCATGGAAGACGTACTTTTCGCTGCTCTTCTGCGAGAACAATCTCATGGATCATGTTGAGGGCACCGTCGACTCCCGCGCCATGGCCGGCGACTCCGAGTGGACCGCGATTGACGCCACGCTCATCTGGTGGTTCTTCACCACCATCTTGAAGGACCTGTTTCATACGGTCATGAGCGATGGTGATGACGCCCATGTCGTGTGGGTCAAGCTCAACGGCCTCTTCACAGACAACAAGATTCAGCGCCGCATTTTTTTGCAGCAGGATTTTTTTGACTGTCATCAGGATGACAAGTCTATCAAAGACTACTGCCGCCGCCTGAAGACGTTGGCGGATGAACTCCATGAGATCGGCGCCAAAGTTGATGACGACCTCCTCCTCAGCATGCACACCGCCGGCCTCAACGAGGACTTCATAAATGCCGCTTCCAACCTCACCTTGATGCCGGAGCCCTCCTTCCCAAGTTTGTGGCGTACTTGCGGTTAGAGGAGTGCCGGATGAAGGGGGTCAAGAAGCGCGTGCAGCACCATGCCCTCGCCGTCGGCAACTCACGAAGCGCCCCGCCAACGGCCACCCCGCCCGTGCCACGGAAACAGCCACCGCCCCCGGGATTTTTTCCCTCCCGCCCGCGCCCCCCGTTGCCCCCTAGCTGCAGCCGTAGGGTGCACTACTAGGGAAAAGCTTATACACATAATCTTAGCAGTAGCGCTGGGTAAAATGAGGCACTGCTGCTACACAAAATCCTTTCAGTAGCAGCATGTAATAGCGAAACGCGCTGCTGCTAAGTTTGAACTCGGGCATAATGGCTAGCCCCACCTAGTAGCAGCGCGTACAAAGATAGCGCGCTACTGCTATTCTCCGTAGTAGTAGCGCTTTTCTTAGACACTCGCTACTACTATCCCTACCTTATCGTCCCCCATGTGACAGAGACCCCCTCACTCTCCCTCTCACTCAGTACTCTCTCCCCTGCACCCCCGTTGTTCGCCGCCACCACCGCTAGAGATCTGGTGCTTCACATCCACTGAGGTACTCCTTCCTCGCTCTTCCTCCCTCCTCCCTCCTTCTCCATCCGCCCCTCCTTCCTCCTCCATCGGGCGCCCCTCCTCCTTCCTCCACCGCCCTCCTCCTCCGTTCGC